CAACTGAGAAAAACACTTAACATTCTCTTCCACATCGCCAATAGCTTGCACCTTTTGCTTATTTTGGAGAGCTTCAGGGAATGAACTTGGTAGAGAGAACTTGCACCTTTTGCTTATTTTAGCGTGTGAGGTTCCTTTTCAGGGAAAGCTCATGAATTGAAACGAATAATCGAAATCTCACATGACACTGGGAGAGTATGTGATCGATGATTTGGAGTTTTTAACCGTTGACGGATAACAAGAGCATCATGCGAAAGGCTTCTATAGCTGTTGGTCCGTCGCATCAAGGTGTTTCACAATCTGTTTTCACGTTTTTATTTTTGCATCTCATCCGGGAAAGATAACAAGAATGTCATCGCTTCATCTTGTTCCAAAGCTTCATTGCTAGGTTGAATAGATGGACCAAAATTTGGTTTAATTACCGTCATATGTTTCTTTGTTTTTATTTTTTTGCTTTAGAACCATATGTATAGGTTTCTAATATTTTGATTGCTACTTAAACTATTTCCATATCTATGAAATATTTACAATTTAGCAAAAAAAAAAAAAATACATTGCCAATAGCTTGCTCCGGAATAGGAGAGCTAGGTTCACTTAGTTGTGTCAAAATCCAAATTATTTTTGTTTAGGAGAGTGTCTATATAAAACCCATGACTAACAATAAAATGTTTTCAAGACTTTCCGAAATACCAGACTACGACGTTGCAATACCTATTGATCTAGCTTGTTTTTTAAGGATCGTCTACAACAAGGTCATTAAGACAAGACGACACACTAGATCTAGATAGTGTAAACACTTGATAACATTTCCCGAAAAAATTGGTGCATTAGATGACCATGATTCTCATCTCGGATACTCCAAAGATAAGAAATGAATACCTGACTTGATCCGCATAAGACACTAGAAATGAAACATGGCAATCATGGTTTCTCATCTCTGATTTGTTTTTGTTTTTGATCGACAAATTTAGAGATTTTTGACACATATCCTTCATGGAACTTAAAGAAAATAAAAAAAAAAACATTAAGCCTTGGGGATAATCTGAATATGAAATTGGACTCTTAGTATTTCCAGTAAATACAACTTACTTCTTGAGAAAATAGCAGGCAAGTCTTACCTTAACTTGTTTTTTTTTTTGGTCCCATGCATCTTCAAAACTTGATGAATACCACAACTAAAAAAAAAGATGTTTCCGGATCTATGACATCAAGATTATGCCTTAATAGTTGATTTTCTATACTTTTGCCAATTGTGATACTATATGTTATATATATATATCTGTCAGGTTGGACCCATAATTAATGCATGATTATTAACTTAATCTCAAATAAAACTTTAATGATTATATGATAAGCATAATGATTGTTGCCTTGAGAGAGGGCCGATATAATTTGGCTATCCATGTTTTAGAAACAGCTTATATTAATATTACTCAAAAGAGTGATTCATGTGGAATGTTGTTTACATAAGTAATGTGTTGCGGTTCGGTACAATTTTGATTATTTGTCCGTTGCATCATTTTATTCATTAAACTTCACGCTCCTGCGATGAATAAATAAATATTATAGTTGTCAACTAGTTTAATCTCCTTAGTCATACATGTTTAGTTTTGAACTGCTAACAAAAAAAAAAAAAAAAATTGTATACAAATACAATTAAGATGGTCTATCTATAATCCTTTGCCCACTCACCTCCACTTAACTAAATAGTATCCTTTTTGCTTTTTGTTTTGTTTTCTGCTTTTCCGCTCACGAGACATTCGTGGGGGAGAATGACTTCTGGTTTTTAATCAATAATTAAAGGGAATTTCACACTGGCCGGTTTGTTTGCTTTACTTAGAAATATGATAAAAGGAAGAAAAAAACAAAGTGATGAATAATTAATCGTGCTAAGTTTTCTAATAGCAAATGGGGTTGCTAATAATTACCCAATCTGTCTAATGATTATAAGATTAAGTGGGGTTGTGAGAAAGAAGAAAGCAAAGGTAGGAATTCTAACATGATTAAAGAACTTATACATGCTTAATTGAAACTTTCTTACTTTTTTAGTTTAGCTTAAGCTTGTCTTTGCTTTTTTTTTTGGTCAAACATCTTATGATTGTGTCTTTGATAGTTTTCTATCTTTTTTTGTTTTTTTTGTCAAATCTTCTATACGTACTATGGAATTTGTTTGTAAAATAGTCAAATTTATTGTAATTCAAATAAGCTTTTAGAATGTAAAATATACCAAAATAACTTTGTAGTTAAAGCTTCGTATTGTGAAATTAATTGTTCGTGAAACCGTTTGTTATAATCGCATGTGTTACATATTAATAAATTTGATAGATTGATCATCGTTTGTAATAAAATATAATTTAATCAAAATATCTATATAATATTATAATAGATGATAAAAAACTAATTTAAGTAATCAATATCGGTATTTTTTCTTTAAAAATTATATGCAAATAATGATTAGTTTGAACTGTTGTCTCTGGATTTATATATAATTTTGGTCAATTTATCAATTTTGAACGCTAGATTTGTATTTTTGTTGGTTAAATTTTTAACAATGTAGACTTTTTAAGAGCGTTAGTATGTTGGTCGACGAAAAAATAATATACGTTAACAGTTGGTAAATAAGTCGACCAAGGTTAAATGAAAAATTGATAGTTTTCATGTATATTTTTTTTTCCTTCTAAATCTCCCTCTAGTAAATAAGGTCAAAGGTGGGGATGTGCCTTTAGTCAAGTGGTTAAGTTCACTTGACTCCGCCTTCCCCACCGGAGTTCGACTCCACTAAGTCGCGCTACCCTGCGTAGTAGAGATTAGCTATGGATTGGGTTTTGTCGATCCAAAAATGTCAAAAAAAAAAAAAGCTAAGTTATAATCGACCAAATAATCTAACGGAAAGCTAAGTTAAAAATCAATTGCACGCTATATATATATATATATTTTTTGGCGCATTTTCATGTAACTAACGGACCACCATATTTTGTGAAGTGTAAATCTAAGCCCATTATGGAAAATTAAAATGTTATGGGATAGGCATAGTGAGGGCATCCGCAGTGGTGTATCCTTGCGTGGGGTGTATCTATTTTAAAATACAAAAATAATGTAAAAGTTGTCTCTCTCTTCACATCCGGGTGTAAGTTTACACTCGGGTGTAAGCCACTCTATCTCTCTCTCTTTCTTTCTCTCTCTCTTTTATCTCTCACTTTAAATTATAATAATAAAAAAAATCTTACACCCCTCTTTCACACTTACACTACTGCGGATGGTCTGATACTGGTGGACTTGTTGTAGTTGTAGTTGTGGAGATTTCAATTGTAATTGGTTCTTTTCTTGACGCACATAGGTAAACTAATGATTGTCCCAAAAACTATTTATATGATTAAAAACTTCAATTAAAGTTCGTTAACGAAACTAAATGTCCATCTACAATCACGTGAAAATCTTAAAACTTTTTTTTCATAATGAAACGATGGGTTGTGTTTTGTGAAATGATTAGTTCATTAGTCCCAAACTAAAAGATTAGGGTTCTTGAGTGAAACCCGTTCCTTCCTTGATTGGTCCTAAAATATTTCTTCCAAATATAGAAAAAAAAAACAAAAATTGACTGTCGTATAGATTTCGTTGTATGTGAGGGGATTTCCAAAGGCGTATCATCCAGCTTGTGTAAATTCGTTGAGTCTTGTTTCCTTTTTATACTGTTAATAATGTGATATTGTTGTATATATTAGTTCTTGTTCATGAACTTATGATACTATATATTGTCGACGAGATTCAAACCGGCAACGTTAACACATTTCAATATCTTCACCAAGACATTGAGTCACTGGAATTCGGTTCTATCTCTTACAACTTGGGAATTTCGAATCTACATGATCGTGATCGTGACACGTATAAATTTTATATCAATGTATTTAAAATAGAGAAAATAATATATCAGTTGGAAGGTGAGGTTTGGGTTTTAAGCTCCCACCAATCTACTCTTGCCAAATTAGAGCTAAGAAATTATGGATTGTGTCTATCAATTTTTTTTTTTTTTAGTTGACCAATTATGTATTGTTAAGTGGGTGACTACTAGATCACACTTATCCTCCATTTGGAAACTTTTTCAATATGTTTAGATATACATGTTGAATTCGGAAACGTTGGTAACAATTAGTCGAATTTGATTGAACAAAATGTTAAGAAAAGGAGAAAAAAGAATACATGTTTAATATATAAAGTTCATGAATTAAACTCACAATGTTCATGAATTCAACACATCATCTTCTAAATAACAAGGTTATTCAGTAACCCTTACCGAACTAAATTCCACTATAAAATCAAAAACATTTCCAATTAATTCGGGGTTAGAATCGATACCATTTCAATATTAATAAATTTGCAAATCAAAATCAATTAACAAGTAGTGCAATGGCTCATATATCTTATATATGCATCTAACTATCTATGGCGCAAAGAAGTTAATCAAATATTAATTTGGTATAAGTGTCTCATACGAAGGTGAAAGACAAACTGGGCAAAAATATAATGGGCTTTAAATACCAAAGACTTATTTAGCTGGACATGCAGATGAAAGATGAAAGACTTATTTAGCTGGACATGAAGATGAAAGATGAAATGGCGTCGTTTTACACAGAGCTCAACAAAAAAAAAACAAAAAAATGCGGTGAGCGTGGATCGAACACGCGACCTTCAGATCTTCAGTCTAACGCTCTCCCAACTGAGCTATCCCCGCTTGTTGGTTGATTACATGTCTTTGTGTATTATATATATAATATTTGGGTGCACTAAACACCTGTCTGGGCCTTGCTTGACCCATTAATTCTGAAGGCCCTATAGATTTTATCTAGAAAAGTAGAACAAAATAGAAAATAATCAAATATAAAAGAAATATTTGTGGACAACAAACACAAATTTCTCCATCAAAATTTGTCGTTTATTTTCCTTATCTCAATTTCTTTGTCTTCCTTATCAGAATAAATAAAAACATTTTCCTTTTTCTATGGACCCTATCTCTTAAGAAGTGTAAAGACAGGTGGCGTTTCTTAATCTTGAATCTGTGAAATTACATTGTAGCAGAAACAGATTCTTTTTCCGACAAAACATGGGAGATGTTGAGGAGAAGAAGAAAGTACTTCCTATGTCTGAACCAGAAAAATCCACACCGATTAAGGTAAACAATATCAAGAATCTGTCTTAACTCTCAAACTTGAACCCTTTTTTGAAACAATCAACACACTACACCATTTTCTTGATTTGAGTAAAATGAAATCTTGATAAGTCGAATCTTGATTTTTAAAATGTTTTTTTTAGAGCTATGTCTCCTCGAGTCCACCTTCTGGTGAGCAAAAGGCTTTGTTTTTTTTTTTTTGACAGTATCGTTTCTGCAAGTCATGTGGTGAAGGAAGTAGTTGCAGGACAGTGAGGTCAAGAACAAAGCTTATGAACGTTTTGATAGAACGTGGACGGCCTCACGAGGCTCAAACTGTTTTCAAAACATTGGCAGAGACGGGTCATAGACCGTCTTTGATCAGTTACACAACTCTTTTAGCTGCAATGACGGTTCAGAAGCAGTATGGTTCCTTAAGCTCTATAGTCTCTGAAGTGGAACAGAGCGGGACAAAGCCTGATTCCATCTTCTTCAATGCTGTAATTAACGCTTTCTCTGAGTCCGGTAACATGGAAGATGCGGTGCAGGCTCTGTTGAAAATGAAAGAACTTGGTCTAAATCCAACTACGAGTACTTACAACACTTTGATTAAAGGGTATGGGATTGCAGGTAAGCCTGAGAGATCATCTGCGTTACTGGATCTTATGTTGGAGGAGAGCAACGTCGATGTTAGACCGAATATAAGGACGTTTAATGTGCTGGTGCAAGCCTGGTGCAAGAAGAAGAAGGTGGAGGAGGCGTGGGAAGTGGTGCATAAGATGGAAGAGTGTGGAGTTAGGCCGGATACGGTGACTTATAACACGATTGCAACTTGTTATGTGCAGAAAGGAGAGACTGTGAGAGCTGAGAGTGAGGTGGTTGAGAAGATGGTTATGAAGGAGAAGGCTAAACCAAACGGAAGGACTTGTGGGATAGTTGTGGGAGGGTATTGCAGAGAAGGGAGAGTGAGAGATGGTTTGAGGTTTGTCCGGAGAATGAAGGAAATGAGAGTTGAAGCGAACCTCGTGGTCTTCAATTCCTTGATAAATGGCTTTGTTGAAGTCATGGACCGTGATGGTATCGATGAGGTAACTTTAACGCTCTAGTTAATGTCTATTACTGGAGAGCTTGAATTGGTAGGTAATAAAAAGATGAAAGTGCAGGTTCTTACCTTGATGAAGGAGTGTAACGTGAAGGCTGATGTAATCACGTACAGTACTGTGATGAACGCTTGGAGCTCAGCTGGATACATGGAGAAAGCTGCACAAGTGTTTAAAGAAATGGTTAAAGCAGGAGTCAAACCAGACGCTCACGCTTACAGCATTTTAGCGAAAGGGTACGTTAGAGCAAAAGAGCCAAAGAAAGCTGAGGAGCTTCTTGAGACATTGATAGTTGAATCCAGGCCTAACGTTGTGATCTTCACCACGGTGATCAGCGGCTGGTGTAGCAGCGGAAGTATGGATGATGCAATGAGGGTTTTCAACAAAATGTGCAAGTTCGGGGTTTCGCCAAATATAAAGACGTTTGAGACGTTGATGTGGGGATACCTAGAGGTGAAGCAACCATGGAAAGCAGAAGAGGTTTTGCAGATGATGAGAGGGTTTGGTGTGAAGCCTGAGAATTCCACCTTCTTGCTGTTAGCAGAAGCTTGGCGTGTCGCGGGACTCACTGATGAGTCGAACAAAGCTATCAATGCATTGAAATGTAAGGACATAGAGATCGCAAAGTTAGAGAAGCTGTACCAAAAACAGTCCTCTGGTAGTAGTTTGAATCTATTGCAGATTCCAGTCGGGAAACGGGAGCTTCCAACCGCAAAAGCGATGAATCTTTCTGCTTGTAAACTCGGAGCTCGAGTGCCAATCATATGCCAGAAGCAGTCCCAAGCACAGTTTGGGATCAGTGGACAGTTTGTACATTCTTGTACAGTGTTCTTGAACTGAAGCCAGAGATTTGGCTTTTCTTTTCTTCTGTTGAAATTCCAGAGTCAATACTTTGAGAACTCTCACTATATGTACATTACAGCAGAATGTTCTTGTATATAAAAAAAAAGTATTGTACAGTTGCTATTTTCAATAACTGCAGACTCATAGATTTGGAAAGAAAAAAAAGACCTCTTAATAAGCAGTAAACATAGAAAAACTAGTGACTCAATTCTGCTTCAAGGAATCAACACACACTAACACACAGATAGGTTTAGAGTCTGTGTTTGCATTCAATTATTGCCTCACTTTTGGAGGGATTGTATAACTTCTTGATCCACAGGTTCTAAGGGAAATTTGCTGAGAAGCCAAACTAAGAGAACACCAAGAAGAGCACCCGAGAACTGCGCAACGGGTCTAACAGTTTGAATAATTGTCAAGAATTCATTGCCACCAAATATATATCCACAAAATTTAGTTTCTAATAATCCAGTTGAAGTCTGAGCTGCTTCAAATACCTGTGAGAATCAATGTACCACTTGTTACACAATTCCCAGTAAGAAATGAGACTATAACCACAATGATGATGATGTGTGTAAATGTTGAGAGACTCTTACCCTCTTCATAACAAACTGACCCAATATAAGAAATTCAAGAAATTTCCTCCAACCCGGAGACATCTACAAAAACAGTTTTAAAATAAGTCATTTTGATTGATTTATAAAAGGTACTTGGAACAAAGAGAGAAGAGAATTAGACTACCTTGACACGGACACTGATCACAAATAACCCGAAAACAGCTCCCGAGGCTCCAGCAGAAACTGAATTCGGCGGTAAAGTGAACCAAGAAACCAGGTTAGCTCCAACACCAGTGAACAAGTAGGACAACCACAAACCAAAGTTTCCTTTCTCTTCTTCAACAATCTTTCCTGTTAACCACAGAACCATTCCCATTGTCCATTAGCTCCGAATTCGATAGAGTCAAAACGAGGTTAAAAATCTTGAACTCTCACCAAAGATGTACAAGAGAAAAAGATTGCTGGAGAGATGGTTCCTAGAATCATATATATATATAAAAACAAAAACTAAGAATCAGGAAAAACGTTAATATCAGCCAGAGAAAAAAATTAAGTAAAAGAAAGCATAGAACTCTCACCAGTTAGCATGACAGAATGTTGCAGTCACAAACTGGTACCATGCCGGAAAATCGCTATACAAATACATAGATTTGATCCCGCGAACCTATATCGAATAAATTTTATAAACGTATGATACCATAGTGAAAAAAACAAACAATTCGAGTGACATTTGGGAGGAAACCATATAAGATGTCCTGGTCTCCGGTCTGAGAGGATGTATGGACCAACTAATACTTAACTCAAAAAAACCAACTAATACTTAAACTCAAAAAAAAAAATCATTCCTACAACTTAATCCAAACAGATACAAGTACCTGAAAGAAGTGTTGAGCCATAAATATGGCAAGATTGATAAGAATGATCAAAAATATGCCATTTGCTTGCTTTTGTGGTTTCTCCAATTCAAATTGTGGTGTGATGTCTGGAAAATTTTACTTGGATTTTCAAAAGTGTAAAGGAAATGATGGAAAAATCGACTTCGAGGTAAAAAGATCTCACCGGTTTCGCTGGAGCGAGATCTGACGACGGTGAGAGGACGCAAGACGATGGAATTAGTTGAGTTGATAGAGAGGCGAGAGTTGGTTGGCGAAGAAGCTACATGGCAACGATGTAAAGACGGTAATTTGGAACTAAGAGAAGAAGAATGGGGGAGGGAGAGATAGTGACGATAAAGCTGAAGGTGAAGGTGAAGCTGAGACATTTGAGAACTCAAAAATCTTTGATCAGACTCAGACTTGCTTCTGCAAAAATATGCTTTTGACTGAATTTGCTACAATAAGTTGTCTTTTACAAGATTTGAATCTACATTTTGTAGTTGTTCTAAGTTTTAAGATAAGATTAAATAAATTAAAAGTAAGATCAATGATTATATAAATTAAAAGTAAGCTCAACAACAACTACACCCACATGCTTTGGTTTGGGGAATGCTTAGTGCAGAACGCATACTTTAACGAATTAAAACGTTTTCACCGCTATTTTATTCTATTCTATATACTGACATCGTTTGATTTTTCTTTTGGGAAAAGATGGATACCAGTGTTGACAAACTTTAACAATGGAGGTGCTACTACTGATGGAACCAGTGAGTTGACACTGTCATTTGCTTTGTTGAAACTTGAGGTCTCGTCTATACCAAGCGGCAAGCGCAGTACTTTCGTCGAACTTAACAAATTCGATGTATCAAATTTCAAGTCGTGGTAGAAGAAGATGCATAGTTTTCTGTGCACCATGAGTTTTTGACAAGTATTTCACCGAGGTTAGACCAGTACTGCCTGCTGATAATACTAATCCACGTACATTGGTGAGCGTCCAAGCGTGGGACGATAGGGTTTTTTTTGTGAAAAGGCTACATTTAAGCTTGCTTAGCGGACAAACTATTCAAAGTTTACAATAAGGTTAAACTTCCAGATTTAGGATGCCTTGGAAAAGAAGTACAAGTTGTACAATGTAAGCCTCTGGAAAATTTGCAACAAAGAAGTTTCATAACTATCAAATGGTGGACTCTAGGCCTATCATGAAACAAGTACATGAGCTACAAGTGATCAGGCAAGATATAGCGACGAAGGAATTAAGATATGTGAGACTTACGCAGTGAATTGCTTCAAGGAGAAGCTATCCCTAGTTGGATTGACTTCAAATGGTATCTCGACCACAAGTAGAAGCCTCTGACTTTAGCTTAACTTGATTTTCAATCCTCAAAATGAGTCACTGAAATGCGATAAATCCATGTTTATAATGCGAATGTTGCTGAGTATAAGAAAAAGACGAAAGCCAAAATTGCGTCCAACAAGGTGGTGTAGCTATGATCACAAGGCGTCTGACTATCGCAGCAACGACCTGTGTGCGATGACTAAGGAAACAAATGTGGTCATGACTGATGAGAAAATTGCAAAAGTGTACCAAACTTTCAAGTTATGCGGAAAAATATATACTATCTTCTTGAAACTGGCTTTGGCTGAACCGAGGCCAGACAGTACATTACGACAGAATGGTCTTATATAAAAATGATATTTGTACAGTTGCTGTGTTCAATAACTGCATACTCACAAATTTGGAGAAAACCCTTCTTAACTAGCGTAAAATTCTGCTGCAAAAGAACTAGTACTCCAAGAAACTCGGATTAGAGCCCGTTCTTCAGATTTTTACAAGGATATTCTGTCAATCTATCAATCGTTTCATCTGCCTTGCGTTCACTGGACAGCTAGTATGTTCCTTACAAGAAAAGGTTATCCCGATTGTCTCCTCACTTTTGCGGGGACTTTTTAACTTCTTGATCCACAGATTCCGAAGGAAATTTGCTGAGAAGCCAAACTAAAACAACACCAACAAGAGCACCAGAGAGATGCGCAATGTGATTAACAGTTTGTAAAGAGTAGCCACCATATATAGTTCCTGATAATCCAGCCGACGCCTGAGCTGCTTCCATTACCTATGAAGATCAATAAACTAAACAATTATGGTCCCTGAATTCTAAGAGCTTCTATCGTATCACCACTTGTTATATATATCATCAGACATATTCTCTCCATATAGAGTATAATAAACACAATACTCATAAGAATATGGGACTGTAAGCAGGAATACGGTTATAACCAAACCGATGTTGTGAGTAAATTTTGAGAAAATCTTACCCTCTCAACAACGAACTGACCCAATATAAGAACTTCAAGGATTTTCCTCCAATCCCAAGACATCTACAAAATCAGTTAGAAAGAAGCTGAAATTAGCAAGATATTAATGAGGAGGTTGATTTACAAGGACCTTAAACAAGGAGAGAAAGAAAAAGTTAGTGCCTTGACGAGGACACTGATTGCAAATAACCCAAAAACAGCTCCTGAGGCTCCAACAGAAACAGCATTTCTCGGTAAAACTAACCAAGAAACCAGGTTAGCTCCAACACCAGTGAACAAGTAGGAGAGCCACAAACCAAAGTTTCCTTCTTCTTCTTCAACAAGCTTTCCTGATTCCCAAATGTCCATTAGCTCCGGATCAATAAACTAGCTAGAATCCAACTATGAGAAAATCTTGAATTCTCACCAAAGATGTACAAGAAAAAAAGATTGCTGGAGAGATGGTTCCTAGAATCATACACATATAAAAACAAAAACTAAGAATCACGAGAAACATCAACATCCGCCAGAGAAAAAAAAAAACTAAAGTAAAAAGAAAGCATAGAGCTCTCTCACCAGTTAGCATGACAGAATGTAGCAGTCACAAATTGGTACCATGCCGGAAAATTGTGATACAAATACAAAGATTTGATCCCGCGAACCTATATCGAATAAATAACATAAACGTATGATACAATGTAAAACATAGCAACATGAAACATCATGTTTCTGATAACCAGGTCACAATAGTAGTCTACACCGTGTAGATGAAGGATATCTAAATACAAGCCACATAGTCAATACCTGAAAGAAGTGATCAGCAACATATATGCCAAGATTGATAAGTATGATCCAAAATATGCCATTCGCTCGCTTTTGTGGTTTTCGATTGTCTTGTGCTTTATCCAATTCAAATTGTGGCGTAATATCTGGAAAATTTACAATAATCAGTGTATATGATGATTCCATTGAACATTAAGATACTGAAGAAGATGTTGCTAAGAATCCAATAGAATCACTGGGAATGTATCATTAACTCGAAAAAAGAAAAACGATTAGAGTTAAAAAAAAAAAAGTCTCACCTGATTGGCTGAATCTGCAAGTTATTTGAGATCTGGAGACTGTGAGAGAACGAAACACGGTGGATTCAGTTGAGTTAGACGGCGACGAAGCTGCACGGCGCCGATGTAAAGGCGGGAATCTGAAACGAAGAGACGATTGTGGGAGAGAGAGACGGTGAACGTGAAGAAGCTGAGACATTTGAGATTTGAGATTTGAGATTTGAGAGTTGAGAGAGATTCAGTTTTGGTCTAATCCGGTATAATAAATAAACAACAGAAAAATATTAAACTGAGATTTAAATAAACCAAACCAAATCAAACCAAACCGGATGATAGAACCGATGGTAATCGATCGTCTAGTGGTAAATCGTGGTGATTACTATTTATCATAACTACGTGAAAAAACTAAAGTTTAATAAAAAATTTGAAACTTAAATCATTATTTTATTCAAGAAAATAAATGATTTAAAAAATAAAAATTACCAGGCCTAGCAAGATTCTCTGCTACTGTATAATAAAATGAGATAAAGATAACCAATTATATGGAAAAATATATGATCTTTTGAATATTTTATTTTTTTCATTTCTAACTACTTTACGGTTCTATCTCGTTTTTCTCCTTATTTTTAGAAAACCGATTTTTTTTTTCAGTTTACAAGCATTCCAATCAGAGGAAAGAGAACGGAATTTTTTTAGAAGAAAACAAAAAGCAAACATGGTTAAGAATATAATTGTCGTTGTTTTTTTCAGTTTATTTATTTTATAGACGATTTCAACAGCTAATGCAAATCTGTGTCACAACAAAGGTCCAAGCAAGACTACACCACATTCTTGTAATAAACCTAATGGTACCCAAATATGTGAGACGACTGCTTGCCAAAAGGAATCATATCTTACTGGACAATGTATTCCGAGCAAACAAAAAACATGCAGGCTACGTGCATGTGTCATATGCATTGTTGGAATTTAAAACGTGCTGGCTAAATGTATGTGTGTATGTTTTATCCATATCGGGTTTAAAAACATTGGTCATATAACATGTCCTCGATAAAAACAATATATAAGATAATAAGACCAATGTTTGCTTTTATTTTATACAGCTATCTTATTCCGCTTATATATTTATTTTGAACATCATTAATTATATAGTATTACGAATGAAATCATATATTTGAATCAAAATGAACATTCACAAAAAATAATACAAACTATTAATTGTTGATATGTGATGTATATAGTGTGATTCTTTGGATAAAATACCAAAGATTAAATACTGTATAGATTTTAATGATTTTATTACTGTTAATTTGACATAAAGAGGAAGAATTAACGAAGCTTTACCTGCAAGTATGAGAGAGAGAGAGAGGGAGAGAGAGAGAGAGAAGAAGAAGAAAATTGACATAAAGAGGAAGAATTAACGAAGCTTTACCTGTAAGTATGAAAGAGAGAGAGACGAAGAAGAAGATGAAAATGACGATGAAACTTTATTTTATGTGTAGGTTTTTTTCTTTCCCCGAACCATAAAAAGTTTTATTAAGAACTTAAAGAATTTTATAAACAAACCGGATGATAGAACCGGTGGTAATCGATCGTCTAGGGCTAAAATTGTGGTGATTACTAGTTATCACAACTACGTGTCAAAAAAATAATAAAAGTTTGGAACTTAGATTATTATTTTATTCTTGATAAATGATTTTAAAAGTCAAAATTACTAGGTCTAGCTAAATTCTCGGCTAATGTATAATAAAATGAGCTAAAGATGGCAAATTAGATGGGAAATATATGGTGTATTGAATTTCTTTTTAAAAAAATATTTTGATTTCTAACTATTTTACATGAATTATTTACGGACTATTTTTTTTTTTTTTCTATTTTTAGAAAACCAAAATCATATATATATATATATATATATATGTATAATAAATGACTAAATACAAGTATTCCAATAAAAGAAAAGAGAACAAATTTTTTTTTTAAAAAAAGAGAGATAACAAAAAGCAAACATGGTTAAAAATATAATTGTTGTTGTTTTTTTCAGCTTATTGATTTTGTTGATATTGTCAACAGCTAATGCGGATCCGTGTTTCCAAAAAGGTCCAAGCAAAACGATTGCACCACATTCTTGTAATAAACCTAATGGTGCAAAAATATGTGAGATTGCTTGCTGGAAGGAAGCATACATTATCGGACATTGTATTCCGAACAAACAAAAAAATATGCCGGCTACGTGCATGTGTCATAATTATTGTTGGAATTTAACACGTGCTGGCTAAATGCATGTTGCATATGTCTTATCCGAGTCGGGTTTAAAAATATTGGTCTTATAACATAACCTCGATAAAACTAAAATTATACAAAATAATGATCTTACGTTTATTTATGGGAATTTTGTCAATAGTGCCATGAAAACCACTTTTAGTTTTTTAAAATGCCATTTCGAAAAACTCATATCCTAAAGTAGTCATATTTGGTTTTTGTGGCATGTGTAAAAGTCACTAATGCCCTCCGAAATTGTTAGCGTAAAAAATGATGAAGTGACGTCCCTGACATGTTTTTGTTGGAATAAGGCTGTAGTAAATGCCTAAAAGTAGATAGTACCATGCATTAATTGTCGACGTATATTGACCAAAAAGTTTTACATTTTTTTTTCAACTGATTTTGTATTAAGAGATCAACGGTTACATATGACCGGAGTTAAAGTCACCAAAAGAATCAGACTCAAAAGCCATCAGACAAAAAAGTTTAACATATATATTGACAAAAAAGTTTCATTGACATCAATGGCATATTTAATCATAAAGTTGTCTACAATCTCTTATGTCATACAATCAAGATAAACCTCTATAGTTATATAAACTTGAGAGCAAAAGGGTCCCAATCGCCGGTACATCCTAGAAGAGAAGCAATTCTGGGATAGTAGTGTGAGGCTTGCCATAGACCTTAAAAATGGTAGACGAATAAAGTCAATCAGGTGGACAAAATCAGAGAAAATGATGGACCAAAAATAATTCGACCCTTAAACTAAAGCTATTGAGATTTAGGACAAGTGAAAAATTCATAGATAAAATAGGCATTTACGAACACGAACCAGAGGGATTACAGGTTCGTCGTCTTGTTCTCCGTTGGTGTCATCGTCAACATGGTATTTTGACAGCTGCAAATGGTGGACAAAATTGACAATCAGGTGAACGTAAAAAATGGACCAAAAATTGACGAACCTGCGGGATTATAGGGCCGCTGTTATGTTCTCTCTGACTGCCAACATTCATTTTAAAAACCTGCAAACGGTGGACAATCTGATGGACTAAATAAAAAACAAAATGGACAATAAAATGGGTTACAAAACACTAAAATCATATTCAATGGGTGGTTGGTTAAACTTGATGAATATACAGATCAACTTACGGTTTCTTTCCAACGTCGATTTGTCTCTTTCACTCTTTCAAGCCGACGGAGAAGAAGAACTCTACTCGACATCGTTTGAGTTTCTCTTAAAAACAGATTTGTGTTTATTTTAATTTTTTTAATTACAAAAGAAATAAATTGTTTTTTACTTTAATTAGAATTTCAGTTTTTGTTTGAGTTGGCGACTTGGCGTGTGAGTCGAATGAGTGTTGTCATGTCATTAGTTTGGGTGTAAGATAGGAAGGGTAATTCTGTCATTTCGATTAAGAAAAATGTTGTTGTGTAAAAGATGTTTTTTAAATGGCATAGAGCAAAAGTAAAACTTAAAAAGGGGCATTCTCTTTAAAAATCTCTTTATTTGGGATATACAGCCATCTTATTCCGCTTATGTATTTATTTATTTACATATTTATTTTTTTGTCATCAATTTTTTTTTTATGTATTCCGCTTATGTATTTATTTTAAACATGATTAATTACGTAGTATTACGAATGAAATCATATATTTGAATCAAAATAAACATTCACCAAAAATAATACAAACTATTAATTGTTGATATGTGCTGTTTAGTGTGATTCTTTGGATTAAATACCAAAGATTAAATACTGTATAGATTTTATTACTGTTAAAAGTTTCCAGGAATGCTAATCTAATAGTAAAAATTAATTTTGGAGAAGTGTGGAGATATAATGTTTATTTATATTTTATTTTGGGAAAACTTCCAAACCAAACCAAACCGGAAGAATGAACCGGTGGTAATGGTCTGGTGGTAAAGAAACCCTAGGCTTTTTTTAGTGTCTCTGGACTCTGGTCTTCTTCTTCATCTAGTTGTTCTGAACCGCCGCAACACTAAGAATTGATCGGCGAGCGCTACGATGGCGAGCAATTACGAGTACGAGGAAGGTCCGGCGGCGAGCAACGAGAGGGAGAGCGGCGGGGAGAGCGGGTACGACCCAAATATAGTGGCGGATTCGGTGAAATCGTTCGTGGTACACATGTACAGACACATAAGGGAGAAGAACGTGTACGAGATCCACCAGATGTGTGAGACATCGTTCCAGAGCATATCGGAACGTCTGTTCAAGGAGACGCCATGGCCAAGTGTGGAAGCTATAGCTCCATACGTAGACAACGACCATGTGTTCTGTCTTCTGTACCGTGAGATGTGGTTTCGACATTTGTATGCGAGGTTATCTCCTACGTTGAAGCAGAGGATTGATTCTTATGACAACTATTGCAGCCTCTTTCAGGTCTGTTGTGTGTTGATTTGGATTTTGGATTCTTTCTGTGGATTTGAATTCTTTGAATTTGAATTGGTAAGTGGCTTCTTCTAGGTGGTGTTGCACGGCGTAGTGAATATGCAGTTACCGAACCAGTGGTTGTGGGATATGGTGGATGAGTTTGTCTACCAGTTCCAAAGTTTCTGTCAGTTCAGAGCAAAGCTCAAGAACAAAACAGAGCAGGAGATTGCATTGCTCAGACAGCATGATAAGGTCCCTATGATCCTACGATTCGATTCATCAACCAAATGTGTTACTTACTTACTTACCTCTATTGTTGTGTTACTTACCTCCTCAGGCATGGAATGTCTATGGCGTGCTCAACTTCTTGCAAGCACTTGTGGAAAAGTCTTGTATCATCCAAATTCTTGAGCATGACAAGCATGGCCTTGAACAGTTCACTGCCACTGATGGCTACGATTACAGCGGTGGAAGTAACGTCTTGAAGGTCCTCGGTTACTTCAGCATGGTCGGTCTCTTGCGTGTTCACTGCCTCCTCGGTGACTACCACACTGCTCTCAAATGGTTGCAGCCCATTGACATCACTCAGCAAGGTGTTTACACCAGTGTCATTGGATGCCATATTGCTACCATCTATCACTATGGATTTGCCAACCTTATGTTGCGACGCTATCTAGATTCTGTTCGTGAATTCAACAAGATTCTCCTCTACATTTTCAAGACTAAGCAGTACCATCAAAAGTCACCTCAGTACGAGCAACTACTCAAGAAGAATGAGCAGATGTATGCATTACTTGCTCTTTGCCTCTCCCTCTGCCCTCAACCTAAACTCGTTGATGACTCTGTCAGCTCTCAGTTGCGAGACAAGTATGGTGAAAAGATGATGAGGATGCTGAGGTATGACGATGAGGCCTTTGGTATTTACGATGAGCTCTTCTCTTATGCATGCCCCAAGTTTATCACCCCTTCCCCACCATGTTTCGAGGAACCTCTTGTCAATTACAATCAGGTTACTACTCCAGTTTCTTTATAAAACAAAATTTACGACGACTCCTTGTGTATTTAACTTTCCCAGCTTGGATTATCTCAGGATGCATACAGGCTTCAGTTGAAGATGTTCCTTTATGAGGTAAAGCAGCAGCAGCTCTTGTCGGGAGTGCGGACATTCCTGAAAGTCTACTCCTCCATTTCTCTTGCTAAGCTCGCAAACTGCATGGAAGTTGATGAGCCCACTCTAAGGTGAGGGAGCAACCATGGCCAGATAAATGGCTTTTACCAAAAGTCTCTCCGCAATCTACTTTTTTTTTTATATATCTTTGACATGTATGGGGTTTTAATTTGCAGGACCATATTGTTAACATACAAGCACAAGACCCATTCAGTTGATTCCGATGGTAGGATCATCTCCAATGCAGACATTGATTTCTACATCAACAATGTATGTTCTTTCCATATCTTTCTGATACCGATACTCTGGTGCTTTTAGAAGTAACTTTAAATCTGGTGAGACTGCAGGACATGATCTACGTTGTGGAATCAAAACCCGCAAAACGTTATGGTGATTTCCTCTTGCGACAGATTGCCAAGGTATGTAAACTGAAACTAAGACTTGTGCACATGCATGATAAGAGTCCTGACTGTTATTTTGATGTTTTTCCATTGCGCAGCTGGACGGTGTGATAAACGACATGGATCGTGTCAAACTGGAATGAGGACTTTTCTGTGTTACACCTATCATCAATGCCCAATCTGATCTGCTCTCTTTTAAACCCTAAATTTACTTGGAGCCAAACACTTTTGAGAAGCTGTCTTCATGTGGTCAAATGGTGTAGCTCGACTCTTTTCTTGTGTACTTGTAATCATCTTTGTATTGAATTATTGCCAGTTTTTTTTTTGATTGAGTATGGCACTTCAGATTATGAATTATCGCGTTCCTTCTGAACTATTTGTCCTGTTTTTCTATGCCAACAATGAGTTTAATCTTCAGAAGTACAATTTTTTTCCGTTTAAGATGTGCGAGCTTTATTGTTCTTGTGTTAGTAAGACTATTTGATCCACCTACAAAATTCATGATTGTCTCAATCTAATCAACAGTAGAGAAATTGTCAGTCGCCATCTTTACACTCTTTGCTCTTGTGTCATCGAATGGTTCTGGTTCTAACGAATTATTTTTAGATATTAAGTCACTTTCTTCTTTCACTTGTCTTTAACAAACAGGTGAACGAAACACCAAAAGAGAACAAATGACGTAGTCTTTCTTAAAAGTAAGTAGTCGAACGAAACTTATTCTCAGACAAAATCAAAATACTAATCAAAGGAAATAAAATACTGTAGTAACCATTCATCTAACCGCTGGGCTAATTTAGCGGGGTGAGATGTTGGTAACCGTGCACTGGTTAACTGAGCAAGAAGGTTCAGGAGTACTAGACGAAGGGTCGTCCGGACTCTTTCCAATGTAAAAACCGGGTGTTTTAGACTTGGGAATTTGACTTGTTTCGTTTCCTAACATCATTACCACGGATGACATCTTTGGTCTATCCTGGACGAGTTTTTGGACGCATAGGAGACCAATCTCAATGCACCTTAGGATTTGCCGAGACTGTGATGAATCATGTAATATGATTTCATCGACAATCTTTTCCCAACTTCCATTCATCCAGTTTATCCAGACCTATTCAGAGAAGAAAAAACACCAAGGCTTATTAATTTTTATAATTATACCAAAAAATCAACTTTCTTCTAAAAGCTTACATGGCTGAGGAGATTAGCACAGTTGGGGTCCGACAGGGAGAACGTCCTGTTCTTCTTGCCGCTTACAATCTCAAGCACAATTACTCCGAAGCTGTACACATCCGATTTCTTCGAGTATTTACCCTCTCCCGCGTATTCTGGAGACATGTAGCCACTGTATAATAAAAGATTAATCTTAATGCGGGAAAAAACCCGAAAAAACCGTCATCTATTTTTTTTTTTGCCGTTTAATACGTGTAGTATTAAATTTGGAATAAAAATACCTCGTTTAATTTCGGTTGTCTTTTAAAATTTTCGTTTTTTAAAAAATGGTAAAATCGTACCTCCGAGTTAACGACTGTTAACTTTGCTAACGGAAACCCTAACTGCGGTTAAACCTTAACCCATGGTGTTTACATATATATATATACAATATCTTTTCTAACATATACAAATATATTATCTTAGTCTGGTGGTTAAACGTGTGTTGAATTGTCCACTCGAATCTCACCGCCGTCACTTTAAAATGTTTTTTTTTTTTTTTTGGTCTTCGTCTTCTCTGTGAAGTATATGTGCAGACTGCAGACTAAGCATCTCCTTTTCAATCCTCGATTTTCCTCAGTTTTTGAATCTTAATCCATTGTTTGTTTGATTAGCGCCTCTGCAATTTGAGAAGTTCATGGAAAAATATAGTGTTTAGGGATTTGGAATCATACCAGAGTAAAAAGAAACTTATGGGTTTAAAGAGTTTAGGAATCTTAAATCACTTGTTTGATTTGATTTGATTATATATGTCTGACTTTGGGTTTTGAATGTTGTTTGATTAGATCCAATTGTGAAGTTTTTGATGGAGCAAATGCAGATCTGAGATTTTGTGGACACTTTTGGGTAAATCTAATTTCTGGAGAGAGATCGAGAATTGCTTTTGTTTTATTTCCAGATTTCGTTGAATAGATTTGCATTTTGTTTCAATAATTTCTCAATTGAGTGCTCTGATCTCTGAGTTTCTGGGTTTTGGGTTTGGTCTTGAAGCCATTGAGTAGGAGAAGAGGAAGACAAAAGAGAAGAAGGAGAAAAAAAAAACTAAAAAAAAAAAAACTAAAAAAAAAAAACTAAAAAAAAAAACGTCAAAATGGACAAATCGGTTTCGAACACAGGTTTAGTTGTCTTCCCACATTTAACCATCTCGCTACAACAATATCTTTGTAAGTTTTCGGATAGAGAATGTATATATATACTTAAACACCATGGGTTAAGTTTTTAACCACAGTTAGTTCTTCCGTTAGCAAAGTTAACAGTCGTTAACTCGGGGGTACGATTTTACCAATTTTTTAAAAACGAAGATTTTAAAAGACAACCGAAATTAAACGAGGTATTTTTATTCTAATTTTAATACTACACGTATTAAACGGCAAAAAAAAATAGATGGCGGTTTTTTCGGGTTTTTTCCCATCTTAATGCTAATGAGTTTACTAATACAAAATATATGTAGATAAGGTTTGAAGCAAAACTCTATTTATTATTCAGAGATGAGATGATGGCTTACTAAGTTCCAGGCGACGCAGTGGTAAGAGCTTCATCCTCGTTCTTTATGCAGATTCGTGCTAAACCGAAATCTGAAATCTTAGGGACCATATCTCTATCAAGCAAAATATTGGCTGGCTTAAGGTCTCTGTGTACAATTTTAACCCGTGATTCCTCTTGTATATATTCAAGTCCTCAAGCAATGCCATTAATAATCCCAAATCTTGTCTGCCAATTAAGTGTAGAGCTTTGGGTTCCACCTACAAAGATTGGAGGGTAAAGTATCAAATTCCCACTAATGCCAAACAACTTATGATCCCAAAATCCATCTGTCTGATTATCTATTATGAACTTGAGACTCATACTCTAAAAACAACTCATGCACATGCCAAGTTAATAAGTTAGTATATTACTAACCAAATAGATGGTCTTCAAGGCTTCCGTTTTCCAACTACTCGTAAATCAGCACCTTCTCGTCATTGTACGTACTCCAACCAAGGAGGCGAACAAGGTTAATGTGTTGAAGGCTTGCAATTATCTTAACTTCGTTCTGAAATTCAGAGATGCCTTGTGTTGAGGTCTCCAATAGCTTCTTCACTGCGATCTCTTCCCCGTCGTCATGTAACAGTCCCTGCAACCAAATTGCATGAATATGAAAATCCAATTTTTTTTTTTTATTTAAGTGTGTTCCAAAGCATAATTCTTACCTTATAGACTTTACCAAAGCCACCATGTCCAATTTCATTGGAATCAGAGAAATTGTCTGTGGCCCTTAAAATGATCCCAAAACGTATAATAATAATAATATATCATGAATCATCATTCCTGGAACATATATTATAAACCTAATATTAAAAACAAAACAAGAAAAGTTATTTACCAAGAGTTGTTCTTGATGATGTTGCTAGATTTTGTTTCCTTTTCCAGAAACAAAAACCAGCCACAGAGAATAAGACAATCACAGTGGGGATGCTAACCCCTAAACCTATGATTTTGCCTTTGTTGTTGTTCTTCTTCTTTCCTGAAAGATTCGTAAAATGATAATTTTTTAACTGATGATAATATAAGTCTAAGAGGATTCATCAGAACTAACCATCGAGTTTGATATAGATTTTTTGACTTTCATTAGAGTTACGCCGGAGATCGAGAAGTTCTCCTGTCCAAGTGACACATTCTAAGCTGCCACTTAGTAGGTTATGTGTTATTGAAAATGCAGTGCATTTACATCTGACAACACAAATATCCTGGCATTCTTGAATGTCGCTGGTCCCAGGGAACGACGTATTTTCTGTGTATGGAAAACTCATTTGTACTAGTGGGATAAACTTATCCGCGCCGCATTTCAGAGGCGTCTTCCGTGTGCAGCCATCTGTCATGTTGGTAGAGTTCCTCAGCTCAAACCCTTCAATACAGTTACAAAACTGTTTCGTGTTCACGTTCACGTCACAGTAAGCATTAGACCCACACCGATTGAAGAGATCGCATATGTGATTGAATAAACTCCATGACCAGTCCCACTCTGTTGTGCTCTGATTCCACGTATACTGGATTAACAATCCTGTGTAGGCCATTACTAATCTTGAGAAAGAGGTTTCGTATGTTGCTATGAACAAACAAGTGGGACCTACTCTTGTCCGTGTTAAATTAAACAACGGAGGTAGTTTATTAAACTTGTATCCATTCCATGGACCGCTATCGTATAATCGCCCGCCTTTATCCCAAATAGAAAGCTTAGGGGAAATTTCGGTTTCGAATTTGAATTTGTAATCTCCACTTGACGGATCATCTAGGCTTTTCCAAGATGTTAGAATGCTTTTAGGATCCAACCCGAGTTGCATATGAGGGAGGAGAGTATCCGTTGGGAAATCGAAACTCTGCCATAACAAGTCTTCTAGATGGTTTGATGATCTCAGCACAAAATTTCCGTTATCAAGAAGCGCTGCCACCACCGGAGATGTCTGGATTCTTAATTCCGTTGACCAGACGAGTGCATTAACTTGATCCCGGATCACAAGGTTAGTTTCAGATATTCCAAAGCTACCATTGGAATCCAAGAGAGGGTTATCTCGGTTTGCAACCCAAACATAGGTGCGTTGAGCTATGTTCTTGTACCAAATGCCGACCATGACTGAAAAAACCAAGCTCGAAGACATCCCCGGGAGACACAAGCGTACGGTTGCTTTGTGGCTGCAATGTTTCAAAAGAAAGCAACGTATTTGTGTTACTTAAAGGTGAACCAATATGAAAAATAAGACAAACGAGCAATCCAGCAAAGGAACGATGTAAACGCATATCTGTCGATGAAGAAGAAAAAGAATTTACTCCTCTGGAATCTGTAAATCACCAAGAACGAAGAACAAACATGTTGTTACTAGGATACATAAAAGTCAAGAAGCAATTGATGCTACTTTGAATTTAGTAGTGGCGACTTAAATTTTCAGAACCTTGAACACTTTCAATGTTTTTAAAATTTATCTTTTTACATGAACCAGATATAGTGGTATTAGTTAATAATATTAAACTCATCGTTGGCATATATCAAATCTGGACAAATAATTCCAAAGGAACTCGAGATCGGCTATAACTGAAATGCCATACTCAATACAAAAAAAATAAAAAAATAAATAACTGGCAATAATTCTTAAGAGCAACCCCAATGGATCCTTAAGAATTTTTTAATTGTAAATTTTGACAAATATAAAGTTAAGGATTTGTTTAGGGGTTCTTAGAAATATTCATGTCCAATGGTAGAAAACCTTAAGCGATCCTTGAGAAAATAAAATTTGGTGTTTGAGTTTTGATTGCTTGAAAAAAAAGATATAGAAGACAAACTATACAAGTTTTTGATAAACACATATTGAATAACAAAGATTCATGACAATAATATGACAAAGTATACAAGATTCATTTGAAAACACATCAAAGACAAAAAAAAACAAAGCTTTCACAGAGAAGGCAAAGTTAAATTCAAAGCTAGCAAATTTCAACAGAGAAGCCTGTCGCCAACATCATCACTGTCATCTTGATGCTTGTCTCCAGTACCATGATCACCCCTCTTACGCGTTACTCTTACTTCAATCCTTTTCTTGATATAGATATCGTTCACTAAACAATATTTACTAGTTACAATATTGTCTAAACACTAAACAACCCGAAAAAAACAATTAAGATACATAGAGGACATGTAAATGCTCAACTTTGTTTAAGCAAATCCAAACACACAAGGGTATCCAAAAACTTACTGGCTGGCTGTGTTTCTATTCTGAGATAAAAGTGATTGCTGTAGAGTCATCATTTGCTCAAGACCAAAAAACAATAGATAACATTAGGTTTAAGAATTACTTGAAAATAGCTTAGATACACAGAAATGTTTCTTTCGAGAGACCACATGCTCAAAATTCATATGCATACAGACAATAGAGGACCAACTAACCTGCATCATCTCCGGAGAACTAAACTGACGAAGGAAATCTGGATTCTGCATCATTTCCCTTAACTGAGGATTCAAATCTAGCATGCTTCGGAATTGCTCGCCATCGTCGCGCTCGCCGATCAATTCTTAGCGGTTGCGGCGTTTCAGAACAACTAGATGAAGAAGAAAACCAGAGACACTAAAAAAAGCCTATGAGGACCTGAAAAGACAAAAAAAAAATACCAATCTGTGATTAGAAAATGAACTGAGGTACTGCAAGTATAGAAAGAGATAATTAAACATGACAATGATGATATTTCAAAAAAGAGCATTCAAATGAGAGTCTCTGAAACTAAGCTATCACATGGAGTAATATTGCTAATTAGAGTAAAAGAAGACACAGGAACTTGCAAAAGAATTGTTACCAAAAAAAAAAAAAACTTGCAAAAGAAGACACAGATATCTGCTTGGATATTTGCAGAGAGAAACCATCGCCTATGCTCTTACACGAGCTATTAGGGAATCAATGAATAAAACAATAAAAATGAATACAAATCAATACAAATCAATACAAATTCTAGAACAACACAAATCTAGAAACGATAATAAGCACAATAATAATAAGTTCCAATTATTATCAATGGGCTAAGTGAAATACTAACAGAACAAAGACTTCAAAATAATGGATACATAGCAAAATCTTAAATAAATTGGTTCAAACACTGCGCAATTTTTTTCATATATAGCATGCTTATTCTACGGAAGTCACACTATACTACGGCTGAAATCACCTAACGGCCACATGCTCTTGAGATTACTACTTTAGCTCAATCGCACATTTATGCAAAGAGAGTTTTAAACCATCAGATACTGCTACTTCAAATATAGAGAACTACAAACAGATCATGGAGAATGTTCAGTGAATTTCTCATCCGAATCTAAACCACTTGTTACCTTTCAACCAGAAAAGAGAGCAAAAAACTAGTATTCTCCAAGACTCTAAACCATCTCAAAATACATGATTTTCCATAGATTTGAACCAACAGAAGACTTTTAAACCAAGGACACAGTCTAAATAAGTTTCAGGTCTTACATCTTAAACCAAAGAACAAACCTTTTGACAAAATGCACCAAAAGCTAAAATAAAGGAATCCATCTCTACCCTTCCCTCACTTCCACATGATTTGATGATCTAACAATGCCAATAAGAAGAATAACACAGAAGAAAAAGAAAGAAACACATAACAAAGAGCCAAAGTGACAGAACAATCTTAAGCTAAGCTAAAACATGTGTAAAAGGCACTGGCCAGACACTGGTTGGTACCAACACTAAATATGAAGAAACAATTATCAAAGGATACCATTTATAGATTAACAACTTGTAACTAGATTTAATTGTGAACATGCGGATTGTACATTAGTAGAGAACTTTTAAGTGAATATGAGCCTTGTCTTAGAAAGACACATCAAAATAAGCTCACGAAATAACCACAAAAACCAAGCTCAAAGGGCAATGATATTTCAAAAAAGAGCTAATTAGAGTTAAAAAGATACAGGAGCTTGCAAAAGAATTGTTACCAAAAAAAACACAATCAATTCAATAACAGTAGTCAATAGCAGAAATACTCAACTAATCCACAATATCAACACAGTGCACCTAGAAGAAGGATCCCAAAAAAAAGTTAGCAGTCACAAACAAAAAAAAAACCCAATTCGTCAAAATCATCATCGAACTCAATAGAAGAAGGATCACTTGGATGAAGATCAATTAACACGATCTAAGAAGGACAAAATCCAAAAGGGGGTGAGAAGAAAAATCCAATCTTACCAAATAAGAAGCAAAACCAAGATAAGGTTCGGCTTTCATGTAAATCTAGAGGAAGTTTTGCTGAGAACTTGTTTCCGACAAAAGAAGAACGTTGCGGCGTGGCTTTCTTCACAACTAGATGAAGAAGAAGAAGAGAAGATACACTAAAAAAAGCCTAGGGTTTCTTTACCACCGGTTCATTCTTCCGGTTTGGTTTGGTTTGGAGGTTTTCCTAAAATAAAATATAAATTAACATTGTATTTCCACACTTCTCCAACATAAATTTTTACTATTAGATTAGCATTCCTGGAAACTTCTAACAGTAATAAAATCTATAGATTCTATACAGTATTTAATCTTTGGTATTTTATCCAAAGAATCACATTAAGCATCACATATCAACAATTAATAGTTTGTATTATTTTTTCTGAATATTCGTTTTGATTAAAATATATGATTTCATTCGTAATACTACATTATTATTGATGTTCAAAATAAATATATACCAGAATAAGATGGTTGTATAAAATAAAAGCAAACATTGGTCTTATACATTGTTTTCATCGAGGACATGTTATATGACCAATGTTAAATAATAATAAGAATGAAGGTAAGGGTAATGCAGAGGTCGATGATGGAGATGATGTTGTGATAGATGCAGGAAACGGGGATAATGATGATAGGTTTCAGACACTGTTTGATGAAGGTGCAAGGACAACTGCAGAGTTAGATGAAGCTACACGTAAATTGGCTGAAGAAGAGGCAAGAAAAAAAAGCAAGGAGAAGAAGAAGAAACAGATCCAGAGTTCGGCTTAGAGGATGTAAAGTATCCAGATACTCCAATAGAGTCAGATGAGGAGTGGGAGCAATGGAAGAATCCACAACGCGAAAAGGGAAAACCGAAGTATCATGGAGATTTGAATACAGAGCCTTATATCTGGTTGTTTCAGACATTCAACAGTGGATTGGAGTTTAAGGATCAGCTACTGCGTTACTCCTTGAATACTCAATATGATATAAAAATGGCCAGGTCAGAAGCAAACAGGATAGCTGCCATTTGTTGCAATAAAAAGTGCAATTGGAAATTATATTGTTCAGTTGAGCCCAGATTGAATAAATGGATGGTGAAGGTATGTCACTACAAACACAATCATGCAAAATCTAGTCGAGTATCAATGTTGAAACAAGGTGTGATTGGAGGGTTGTTTAGAGAAGAAATAAGAAGGAATGTCAACTTAGCAGCTGCAGAGATAAAGGACATTATCAAGGAACGCTACGACATTGTTGTTAACATATCAAAGTGCTACAAAGGAAGACGGATCACTTTAGATTCAGTCCTTGAAGCTCAATCTGTACAATATTAGTTATTCAGTTGACTTGGCAACACGACAATGTGCATGTCGCCGATGGGATCTTACAGGTATGTTTTCTGTTGAATTCTAATTTGAGTTTGATTTTTGATGGTATTAATCTGAGTCTTGCTATCAATGATAGGCATACCATGCAAACATGCTGTATATGTTTTAGATGACAACCAAGACGATCCTGAGAAGTATGTGGCTGATTATTATCAATCCTCTTACTTAAAGAACACATATGTGGATAACATAAAACCTGTCAATGGTGAGCAACTTTGGACAAAAACATGGAAACCTCCTATTGGGATCCCTAACATTCGCAAGCCAAGAGGTCGACCAAAGAAACGTGACAGGAAAAAGGAACCTTTTGAATCACTCCAAAATGCAGGAAAATCAACCAGACATGGGAGGATACCACATTGCAGCCGATGTGGTCAAGCTGGCCATATTAAGAGTGGATGTAAAAATGAATTAGTTGTTGTGGAGGGACCAAAAAACAGACGTGGTAGACCTCGAAAACTTGCATCAGTTGAGGTATTTTCTCTTTCTTTCTAATTTTGATAAATGCTTGATAATTGGTTTTGAAATTCTCTGTTTTATTTGCATGAATCAGGTTCAGCCACTACGCCAACCAAAGCCAAGGAAACCTAGAGCCAATCCAGCTGCTTCCTCTCAACCATTACCAACCACTGCCACCATAATCAATCAAACTTCTGATGCAATAAGTTCTCAACAGTTACAATCCGGTCAATCAAGTTCTACAATTCCTACTTCAAGTGCACCACATCCTTCAATCTCGTCGAACAAACCAAAAGCTAAGAAGCGTGGACGGCCTTTAAAGACAAGAAAGGTGGAAAACATTCCAAGAGGAGTTGGAACATTTTGGAGTCCATTCACAGGTTGGCAAGTGTTTGGCGACAAGGCGTATGATATGTCTAACAATGACCCTCAACGTCCACTTTGAATGTTTTTGTCTTTCAATTTCTGTTTTGGGATTCATAGTTTTTGTTATCAATTTCTGGGTTTTGGAACAAAGTCTGTCTTTTGATGTATGTTCCGTGAACTTCCCGTATCTATGAATGAAGTTTATTATTTTTAAAAATTTTCTTCTTTTTCCTTTTTAATTTTAAATTATTCCTTTTAATTATATAAAGTCACGTTTGATTAAAAAAATACTCAAGAAAACAGATTTAATCAAACGGAGGTTAATGGTGTTAAGTGTTCTGTTAACAGATTCAAAAATTCTGTTAAATATTGTGAGCCCACGAATATAGTCATTTTGGGGTATTATGTTGCTAATGTTTTTACTTTGAGGTATTTAAGTGGAAGTGCAAAACTTTTAAGGTTTAAAGTGGGAACTGGTGTCACTTTGAAGGTTTTTTGTGGGATTTTCCCGTTTTTAAACCTGACTCGGATAAGACATCTGACACATGCATTTAACATTCCTTTTGCTTGGGCTTTTCTCGTGACACAGATTCGCATTAACTGTTGAAATCGTTAATAAAATCAAGAAACTGAAAAAAATAACAACAATTATATTCTTAACCATATTTGCTTTTTTTTTTTTTAAATCTTTTTTCTTAATAGAATTTCGTTCTATTTTCTTTTGTTGGAATGTATTTAGTCATTTATTATACATATATATATGATTGTGTTTTTCTAAAAATAAGAAAAAAACAAAATAGCCCGTAAATAATTCATGTAAAATAGTTAAAAAAAGCTATTTAGCCGAGATTCTAGGTAGGCCTAGTAATTTTTATTTTTTAAATCATTTATCAAGAATAAAATAATAATCTAATTCCAAACTTTTTATTAGTTTTTTCACGTAGTTGTGATAAATAGTAACTAATCACCACAATTTACCACTAGACAATCGATTACCTGCGCACCGGTTCTATCATCCGGTTTGTTTATAAAGTTTTTAATAAAACATTTTATGGTTCGGGAAAAAAAAAACTACACATAAAATAAAAGTTCCTTCGCCATTTTCTTCTTCTTCTTCTTCGTCGTCGTTCTCTCTCTCTCATACTTGTAGGTAAAGCTTCGTTAATTCTTCCTTTTATGTCAAATTATGGTTTTGCTTCCCTCCTATCTCTTTCTTTCAAGATCTCAAATCAGAGTCATTAATTAACCTTAATTATCATTGTTCTTGGATATAAAACACTTTTACCTAATGAATTACCGGAATCTAATAATTGCATCTGTGAATTACAAGAAAAAAAACTAATTTCTTGACGAACTAGTTTTTTTTTTTTTTTTAGTTCGTCTTGATTTTTTAGATTCTTTGTTTTGCAGTTGACAAATTCGATCTTGTTCTTTTCGGACAATTAGAGAGATGCAGGTACAAAATTGAAAATTTTAATGTTTTTTTTTTTTTTTTTTTTTGCAAAACTTTGACTAAGTATGTGTGTGTGTGATTGATTGATTGATTCATGTATAGGCATCAAGAGCGAGACAGTTTTAAGAATACAAAGAGGTTCATCGAGAGAAAGTAGCTGATCCAGATATTCAATTGGTGTGTGACGATACCAACATATTCAAATGGACCGCTCTTATCAAGGTTTTTTCGGATAAGAAAACTGAAAAGCTTCCTTCATTTTACAGGGAAAGTTTGTGGTTTCTGATTTTGAAACAGTGTCGTTGTTTGTTGTTGTATTGCTGCAGGGACCGTCGGAGACTCCTTATGAAGGCGGTGTTTTTCAGCTTGCTTTTGCTGTTCCTGAACCATATCCTTTGCAACCTCCTCAAGTGCGATTCTTGACCAAAATATTTCATCCAAATGTGCATTTCAAGGTGAAATGATGATTGCAGTTTTTAATAATCTCTCCGGTTTTAAAAAAAAGGGCACTGTTTTTTATTATTTGGAATTTGTAGACAGGGGAAATTTGCCTCGACATATTGAAGAATGCGTGGAGTCCCGCTTGGACGCTTCAGTCCGTGTGTAGAGCTATCATAGCATTGATGGCTCATCCTGAGCCGGACAGTCCTCTTAACTGCGACTCAGGTACAAAACTAGTTCAGTGTTTTATAGTATGCAACTGCTTTTTACTGAAATCTGTGTGTTTTGACACTTTTGTTGTTGGGGTTGTTGCTATGATAGGGAATCTTCTAAGATCTGGGGATGTGAGAGGGTTCAATTCAATGGCACGCATGTACACGCGCCTCGCCGCAATGCCAAAGAAAGGATGATGATCCTCTTGCTTTTTTCTTTGAATTTGTAATGATAATGATTTGCGAGAGTGAATACATTATTAAGTTTCACATGTGTAAGGTTTACAAGGAGATGATTCTTCTTATTAGTTCACAATTTTACCAATATTACAATCGGTTTAATCGCAAGTCATATCTTCTTCTTTAAGGAATTTGTCAAACCAGTCTGATGATTCTTTGATCATGAAACTCGTCACTTCGTGCCCAACTCCATCTTCTGCTTTGAACTGCTCTCTCGAAATATCAAAAGTTTTTTTTTTAAAATTCTCTCTGGTTGCAATAGAATTATAGACTAGATCAGAAGTTTACCTTGAAGTTTTCAGGAGAAGCAGTTTCCTTATACGCCTTCTCAGCTCTCTTTAACGGAACTTCTAGTCCGCCAAGAGGACATCGAGGATCTTTTGCTCCTGCATATGTAACGCGGCAAAACTTGTAAGTGTGTCGATAGATAATGAGCATACATATATATATCGATTGTGCTCACCGTTAAGGATGTAAAGAGGCCGCGGAGCAATCACTGGTAATGAGTAAGGCGAATCAAACTTAGAAGCTAGGCCAGGAGCTATTCTGTTCCACACCTGTTATGTCAATATATACTTACCAATTATAATTGAGTTGCAATCCAAATTCGTAGTCACTTTCAAGCTTCTTTACCTTCTCGACTAGTTCTTTGTCGATTACATTCTTTCCGAGATTGATCCTTGCTTCTGAAACCGTAGAAGAAAAACAAAAGCAAAGGAATTATAATCCTCGTACATATTATATTGACTCACTTTGTGTTTTTCAAAATCTGACCTTCAAATAAGGTTTTATGCTGTTGACTCTTGCTTCCCACTCATCATTGTCTATTGCCCATCTAAATCCCCGCCCAACATTCAAAAACATTGAAAAGTTTTCGAATTAGGAAACCACCCTCATACAAACAAGAATATCCTTGTAGTTGCTTATGTTGTTTATCGGTATTTGGTTAAGGGAAAGCAAAAGAAACTAATGATGATTTTGCACCTGAACACCGATTAAAGGGACAGCCACAGAATAGCGGGTATTAGCTGCAGCAGCAAACCAAGCATGCATCCCTGTATGTTTCTTTCACAATGAACAAATATTCCGTCCGTAAAAAATATTCTGTCTTCTTCATCATCGGCGCTTAACACTGAAACTGATTTTGTAATACCCCGGTTTCAGGAATATGGTGGTGCATGTGGAGAGGTTCAAAAGAATTGATTTGGCCACCTATGTCACCAAAGTGCACTTATCTTTTCGGTCAACCGTCCTGAGAGAACTCCACAGTTAAGCGTGCTTGGGCTGGAGTAGTTTCAGGATGGGTGACCTTCCGGGAAGTGATTATCGGAACTATATGAGTGAAGACAAAACACAGGTAAAGATCATGTGGTGATTTGTAGGGTCGGTAAACAAGTCTTTAAAGCCTCCTGGACGTAGCGGAGCAGCCGTTGGACATGAGTGGGGCTCACAGGCCTGAGAGAAGCGTGGGTGCTCACTGGTAGGGGTGGTCGGGGCGTTATAACTGGTATCAGAGCAGAACCCAGTCGAGTGTGGAGTCATGGTGGTGCATGCGGAGAGGTTTAAAAGAATTGATTTGGCCACCTATGTCACCAAAATGTACTTATCTATTCGGTCAACCGTCCTGAGAGAACTCCACAGTTAAGCGTGCTTGGGCTGGAATAGTTTCAAGATGGGTAACCTTCTGGGAAGTGATTGTCGGAACTGTGTCAGTGAGGACAAAACACAGGAAAATATCATGTGGTGATTTGTAGGGTTGGTAAACAGATCTTTAAATCATCCCGAACGTAGTGGAGCGGCCGTCAGACAGGAGTGGGGCCCATAAGCCTGAGAGAGGCATGGGTGCACACTGGTAGGGGCAGTCGGGGAGTTAGAGATTTGGTTATACACTGTTTTTTTTTGTTTATGTGGTGATTGGTAGTGATGATGAAGTTGTATACCATGATGATTAGTCAGAATTCGACACTGGATTCATAACAACGATATTACATCTCGATAGGCAGTTGTGCAATCAGCACGTTCACCGTGGTAGCAGCTCCTTCTTGTGAACAAGGACTCTAATAGTGTACAAGTCCGCTAGGTACCAAAGTACAAGATATGCTTCTATTGGGAATCTTCCATAGTGAACCGGGTTCAAGTTTATGGTGCTGAGAAATGAATATACCAGATGATAAGGTAGGCCAAGGAGTGGTCCTTGGTCAAGACCATATCTATGGATATAGAGCTTTAAGAATCCATGAAGTGTCTCGATTCCTCTGTATATCAAAATATTATCCAGCATCTTCTCTTGTAATCCTTGTGGCATACTTGTGGCATACTTGCGATCATACCCCTTAAGGTGTTTTCCGTTGGATTTTCTGGACTCAAGGTGAGAATCATTGGGACGATGGCTGAGATTTGTCGTTGAGTTCTTGATAGGAAATCAGGGAGAAAGTTGTCTTTTCCTTTGATATGTTTCACATCGAACTTCCATTGTGAAAACCAGCTTGCCCACCTGAGTAGTTGTGCTTGCGGTAGGACCTTCTGCTTGAATTGGATCATTTTAGGAAATGATGACATGTCCATTTCGATGAGGAAATGCTGGCCCACCAAGTGAAACTCGAACTTTTCTATCCCTCTTTTTATTGCAAGTATCTCCTTGTAGGTTGAATGGTAGTGCTTTTCACTGTCCTTGAAAACTCTGCTTTTGTAACCACAGATATGTCTTTTCCCTTTCTCATCTTCTTCCAAAAGGACTGCTCCCCAGTAAAAATCACTTGCATCCGTTTGTAGGATTCGTCTGCCTTTTGATGGAATCTTTAATGCTGGCAAGGTCTTCGAGATTCGTTTTAGCTCTCTTACTGCTTCTGTACATTTTTATCCCAAGTAGGG